CCCCAAAACCCCAAAACCCCAATCTTATAAATAGCAAGCATAAAAATATTTTATAGAATTAGATAAAGTTTATCTTAAAATGATATTATATGATCTATAAGTTCAATCACTCTCTGTTTCTCCAACTGCCTTAGTTTTAAAGAGACTCCACCAGTTATCATCTTCTTTTGCTTTTCTCAAATTGATTTGGATACTGTCATTCTTGATTGTAATTGTACTTTACTCGGGAATGATATAACATTAAAGCTTTGGTACTGAGAACAAGTAGTTTTATCCATTGTAATCGAAGATTTTTAGAGAAAATGTTCTTTTTTAGAAATCAATCTTGATCTTATCTTAATCATGCTTCTTAATATCCTTAAATTCTAGGAGTACCTTAACCCAGTTTTTGCCAGACTCATAGAATGAGTACTTGGTCATAGTAACTAACTTATCAGCTGAAATAATTCCAGAAACTTTTTTATCATTTACTGCCTTTTAGACAGGTTTCACCTCGATGGGCTTTACATGCTTCTTGGGGTCTACTGAGATATCTACTGAGCAATAGACATCTGAATGATTTTCAAAGAAAGAACTTAGCATTCTATTTAATGGAATAGTTTGGCCTTCTTCGGATGTAGAGAAGCTTCTTACCGCATAAATCTTATTCCCATCCTTTAACATTATTAAAATATTAGTTTACATTTGATTTTTGTAGCTACTCTAAAACCTTGATTCTCAGATCATTGACAAGATGCTCTTCACTTAGATTCAACTTGATAGTCTGTTGTATGAGTAATGTAGTTTGAGGAATCACATGAACATATAGGGTAATATTTGAATCAGTTGACATTTTATCTTTTAAATTATAAGACTATTCTAGAATCAAGTTTAAATTATTAAATTTTAAAAGGAAAAGATCACTTTAAGATTAATACTCAAACTTAGTATAAATTATTATCTGGATTTTCTTGACCTCTCATTCTTCTGACATTTCTCTCAGCCATCTTATCTATCTCAACTAACTTTTTGAATAACTCCTTCTTTTTCTATAATTATTTTATTCAATCAATTACTTACATTTTCTTCGCTATCCCAACTATTAACAGATGAATATCCCAAATTCTCAATTTTTTCTTTGCCCATCAACCCATGCTTCATCCTGCACTCGATGTAATTAATTTAGAATTTCTGGCATCTTTTAGGCATCAATTAATGCTTATCGAGACATGAGTTATAAAGTACTGCATGTTCCTCGCATTCATGAAAATGATCAAGTGGGAAAGATCCCTTATCAGGAGCAGTGATAGGTTATCTAGAACGTCTGGATGCCATTAAATTTATATTGTTAAAAATCAATAAATTATGAAATTAAATTTAGACTAGCTTGTTTAAGATAACACAAAACGTATTAACAGTAAATGCTAGAACTTTTATCATCATAAATTCAGGTGATTTGCTGCAATTTAAATGAATTTCTTGTCTATTATCTCAAGATTAGTCTTGTAATTCTTAAGTTTTGATATCCATTCCTTTAAATGGTCATCGAATACTCCGTTCTTTTAGCTATACTCTTCTAATTTCTCAATGACTCCATGTTCATTAGCGAAAATTCGTAAGTTCTAAATAGAAGATAGATTATGGAATAGCAGATGATTGAAATCATTGGTCTCCTGTTTCCCTAGATTTTTCTTCTTTCCATCTTTATCATATTGATTATTTTTCTATCTCAAGTCTTGACTTTTACTAGAATTAGTCAAACTAATGTTGTCCTAATCCTATGCTAATTATAAAGTTAGGTTCTTCAGTTTTTCAATATCCTAGTTTTTCAATTTCTTTTAGAGATTTTTCCTAAGCACAGTATACTGGTGAGCGATCCTTTTATTTTGCTCTCTTTCAGGAGATGTAGCTTTAGCGATAAGTCTTTATAGCTCCTCAGCTGTACCAATTTATTTCATCTCCAATTTTGCAAGATCATTAATTATTTCCAAATCCTTTATAACATTCTATGAGGATGCTAATACTGAATCACCTTTTACGGTTTTCCTCCTTGTCGTAAATCCAATGTGCTTATTCTAAACTATTTTCTTATTTTAGGCTAAAGGATTAAAATATTCATGTATAATCTCCCCAATATTGTCAAAGTCTTTGTATTCTACCTTCATTTTCTGTGTTGTCTCAATTAATGGATCATTTGTTTAGTGGCCTATAGAACTATCAGACTCATAATCCCCTAATTAATTATCCTAATTTTTAACTGACTAATTTTCTGTATACCCTGAAAGACTTTGATTATTGAGATCATCTAAATTTGACTAGATATCTTGAAACTACATATGATCATTCACAGGTAAAGATTAATATGGTATCTTTTATAAGGGGAGGGGAGATGCCTTTTCACTGATACAACCATTCACATTATCTTAAACAACATCCTGCGTCTACTCCTAGATATCAATCTCTTCTATCTTAGACAACTCTGCCCGATCATTCTGAAAGGCATCAATTTTTTCTTCTATTTTAGGGTCATTCCCAAATCTAACACTCTTCTTTGTAATAACTTCTCTTTTCTTTTGAAAAAGACTTAATCTGCCTTAGTTCAATATACTTGAACTTTTTTTATTTCTTTCAGTATTTACATCGCCTGAGACTGATGATAATTGCCCCTTTTATAGTTCCAATTATTCGTAGTGTTTAGACAACTTATCTTAAATCTCTCTTAGGTAGTCCTTCATTTCATGCAATTCCTCTACATCTTTTTGATAAAATTTTTTGAACTTAAAATTTGTATTTCTTAGCTAGTTGTCTCTTGCTTCTAGTTCTGTCAGTTAAGTTTTGAGGCTCTCCCTTTGAAACTTTTTCTTGCTCTGATTAATATATTGTGTTTTATATTGCTTCTCTAGCTAATCGATCATCTGATCAATAAACTTGGTATGAGCAAGTTTTATCATAGCTGGCTCATCTTCCTCAGTTTTAGAGTCAATAGATTTCTTTAGCAGATTTACCTTATTCTTCAAGGTTTCAATCGATTTAAATTTGTCTGGAAAGCTCATCTCTTAGCTTTTATTTGAGGTTAGCTTTGTGATCATTTTTTAGAGTTCGTGAAAGAGCATTTCCTCTTTAGAATATATACTATGAGCGTATTTATTTTTCTTTGGAGAGTTCATGCTAGTTGAGCTGTGCTTGAATTAAGTAGCTGTCATATTAGGTTTAATGCTCTAAAAAGTTTTTGAGTATTAAAGTTTCTTTGCTGTGCTAGAGAAATTAAAATTCAGATTATTAACTGATTGAGGTTGGCTAGGAAGATTTATTCCATCATCAAATTTCATTCCTACTAATGTTGCTCTTCTGAAGAACTAATTTTGGTTCTGACTGCTTGCTCTAGCTAACTTCTTGTTCAATAGTTTTTAGTGAAGTTCTAATGTTTCAAGCTTATCCTACTCATATTAGTTCCTTTCACGTTAAAGTAGATTTCTAAGTTCTAATTGAACTGCAGCCTCAAGTAACTTTAATTGATTTTCTTCGAAATGCCTCATTCTTTCTATGTCTTCAATGGATAAGTTATAAATTTTCTTTGGCTAACCTTACTTATTTGTAAGGAATTTGTGGTTTCTAATACTTTTATAAGCTGTTGAAATCACTCTTTTAAGAGATTATATGTTACTATGATGAAGATATTGAGGGTCATCTGGCGACATTTATAGCATAGGATTTCTATTTAATTCTGGCTCAAAATCAGTTATAATATCACCAAATTTAACTGCCCCTGCGATAGTGCTGTGACTCTTTGGAGAAAGAAGTTTATCATTTTTATTAGTAATGCTGTCCATCAAATTTATCTTTCTTTAAACTGATTATTAAGCAGTTCTGGGTTTACTATCAGTGCTATCAATGATTTCATCTTTAATATTGGATGCTAAAAGCTGGTTCTTTAATTCGTTTTAATTATTTCCAAGAGCAGTATTAGGCTTTATCGGCTCAAGAAATCCACCACTATATTAGGAATTCGCGAATGAAGCTTTAGGGCTCATAAAAGTATTTGGTATTTAGCCAACTGACTATCCTCGAGTAAGCGTTCTTCTTGTTGTACCCCTAGTAGACGGTGTTGTTGAAAATAAATTTCTTAACTTTGGATCCAATTCCTTGTAATCTAATGTTCCGTAATTTTGCATTAGCTTTTAATAAGGCTACGGTACTTTCTTAAATAGTGAATGCTCCGAGTAGTCCTCCATAAAAAGATTGTTATCATTCGAAATTTCTCGATACCCAGCAAATTTATTAGCATATTCTACGGAAAATTTAGGAAATTACTTTAGAAAATTTGGATTATTCAAGATAGGGTTATCAACACTAAATTTCTATAAATAAAGTAATCTTACACATTAAATTATTCAACTAACTTTGTGACCACCGTCTTATTCTTGTAATCCTCTAGTCTTTACTATATACGTGTAAAAACTTAAAATAAATAAATTTACGAAATGCTGCTTGTTCATCTCTGATTTCTTTTCAGTCTATTGAACTTATTGCTACTTTTACTTCAATGGTATTTTGTTCATTTATTAACTTCAACTATTATTATAATATCGTTTTAATTTTTTTGTAATTCTACTGTGGGGTTTTGGGGTTTTGGGGTTTTGGGG